TCATGGGGTCACGAAGAGTCGGACACGACTTAACGACTAAACAACAACAACAACAACATGGGAGCCTCTACAATTGTGTAGCTTCTCTTCTACTACAATGCCAGATAATAGCAGTTGTGACTAATTTATTCACTCTGCAATCTCCGTCTTCAGCAGAGATTCACAGAAGATAGGAAGCCATGATTGGGTTTAAGCAGAATAGGCCACCATAGCTGGATTCGCAGAGAACACTAGACAAAATTAATGGTATTTATTTATTTATTTGATTTCTGTAGTATTATGGCTTAGAGACATGGGAGTCCACTGGGAACTCAAAAAGTCAAGACTGAATAATCGAAATTTGGGGCAGGGCTTCAACTGTTCAGTCGAGGTTGCCATCTTGACTTTTTGGACCCTCCTGCAGATGCCCTGCATAGAAGGACATGTAAGATTCAAGGCTGTAGCTCAAAATGCCTAGCTTAATATTTGGATTCAAATTCATCTGGACTTCGTTCTGAGTTGACATGAGTGGTTAATTAAGCTGAACTAATTGGTAAAAACCAATAGATGCACTAAAGACCTAAATATTATGGGGACTATCTGTGGCAGTGCGTAAAAGAAAGTCACTAATAATGTTAGTAATAGCAACAATCTGGTAGATGGACTAAATACATCACAAACTGAATTAATGTGTGCAGCACTATGTTCAATTAATGAAGTACAGCACACAACGCATTAATCAAGACCTCCTTTTGAAACAGCTTAAGGAAAACAGAGATACAGTGAGGTATCTTTTATAAAGGAAGCATGACGTGCTAGACTACAATTCTCATCATTCCATCCAAGGGTGTGCATGATGGGAGTTGCTGTCCAACACGCCTGAAGGTTACTAGAAACAGGGAAGTGTCCTTGGTTTGTTTTTTTTAAATATGCTGTATATATTTTAATAAATTGGGTTATATTTGCTGTAAAATCAAGATTTGTTCATGGGTGGAACTGTTAACCCAGGAAAACTGTAATGTATGTATTTATCTGCATTCCTGAAAAATCCTCATGTGGGTCAGTTTATTTATCTGCATCCCCAATACACAAAGCAGGCACTTTATCATTTTTTAAGGATGAATGCAGGCGGCCAGTCTATAACATCCACACCTCTGTGCGAACCTCATCTCTGCTTGTGCGAATTCATGCCAAGACACTCTTTCTAAATGTAGGAAAGGACTTAAACATGGAAGTGGTTGGTATTGGAAGAAAATTGTGGAAACCTAGAATACAGCTCTATCTTTGTGTACAAAGACACAAATTTGGGAAATTAGACATCCTGTAGTGCCAATATCCACCTTCTTCAACCTGCCATCCTTCAGATGTATGGCACTATAAGTCCTATCGCCGTGCTGGTGCAAACAAGGGCACTATGGATGAGGAAGATGGAAGTTGTAGTTCCACACATCTGAAGGGTGCCAGATTGGAGAATGCAGCTCTGAGCAGCACAATATGTGTGTCTTTGCACACAAAGACAGACCTATGTACTAGGTTCTACAATGTCTTCCAACATTTCCAAGTAATCAGCAGGAGACCTTACCTAGTTAGGTTCAAGAAACTGATCTTCAAATCATGAGTCACTGCTAATAAATGGAGGCTCCGTCTCCACAAGAAACTAATTAGATGCACTTAAATTATATGTATGGCAATTAAATGCTGTGTGGCACATGAATAAATGCAAAATGTTAATACAGTTTGTTCTTAACTACACACTGCTAGTGCATGAGTGCAACTGCTATGAAGAAAGGGACCCATTTGGTCTGCACACCTCATTTTAGCCTATATATGCAGATCAAAATGTGAGTGCACAGGGAGGTCCAAGCTATACAAACCCACTTGTAAATTATTCACTGTCTTTCAATCAATGTTTATATCTATGCAGAGACTAATCAATCCAAGGGTACAGGTTTGTTCTTGTGTTCTGGCTGGTGGAGCTGAATGCTGGCCATCATGGCAGCTTTGGGTACCCCTGGTCTCTGAAGAAGACCCTCTTCCCACAGCTTTTATTTCTCCAAAACAGAACGAAGACCAAAGGCAGAGTTATCCCCACAGAATCCATTTCCTCCCAAAATGTACAACGCCTTTTAGCACCCCCAAACCATCACAGTGGCAATAGATCAGTAAGCTTTATATTGTCACCACGGGGTGAGAGGATAAGACACCGTAAATCACCAGGAAGGAATGGCCGGAGCAAATGCAGTTTCTAGTCAGGGCTAATGACTGAGTTATGACCACTCACGAGAATTAGAGCTGGCAAAAAGATTGGAGTTTGTTAATTTGGTTCAGTTCCATATTCACACAGGAACTACCACCCACAAATCATAGCCAAGTGAGCCCATTTACTGGATAAAGAAATCTGGATCGTAATCAAGGAAAATTATCTTAAATAGAGAGAGTAAGGAAGAGTATCCGGGGGAAAAACAGAGATTTCAGGGGAGGGGGCAAAGAATACAGAAGACTAGAACCAAATTACTGTTTGTATTTCAGGGGTACTTTGCACTGAGACAGAAGAGAGATAAATGGAAATGGAGGCACATTTTGGCAGAGGGACGCATAAAATTTAACTTGAAAACACGACAGAAACCAGGAACCTCTGACTTTTAATATACTAAGTTCTCTACACTACCAGTCAAAAGGGGCATTGGTGCTAGACTATTTGAACAGTTCCAACATCCTCTGGGGAAAAAATCATAGAAAGGTGTCACATATTAAAATGATGATTAACCAGCATCCTACTGGGAAGCAGGATTTCGGTAAATTAAGAAAGTCTGGATGTTGCTTCTGCTGAACTCCTGAGACCTCCTTTATTCTGACTGACTGTTGAATGCTGCTTCGGATTTGTCCCTCTGTAGTTTGCACTGTTGGTACAGATAAACATCTTGTTCTCTCTCATCAGAGATCTCCAATTTTCTCTTTCTCTGCTGGTGCTATTCAGGAGTTAATCTCGCTTACCGTATCCTCTTGCACGAGGGTCTGCCCAGCAGCCTTGCAAAAACCTTCAGGTGAGTCGTTTCTCCCCCTGCAAACTCACCCTGGGGCTGCACGCGGGCCACGCCGGGCCCCCTCCGCGTGGCTGCCTTTGCGCACTGCGCGTCCCACGGGGCAGGGGCTCCCGTCCTCCGCCTTGTCGCCCGTGGATAGGGCAGAGCCGCTGCCCCGATGACAGCTCGCGCGCGGCAGGAAAACCCCTGGCAAGCAGGCGACAAGTGGGTCGGGTTCTTGGACCGGGCAGCCCGCCCGGCGCTTGCTCCGCCGCGGGCTCCAGCGTTTCAACGAAGTACAGTAGAGCGAAGGGGGCGGGGTCGGCGAGGGTGCTGGCTGCATTTCTTGCGATGGGGGTGCCTTTGCAGAGGTTTAAGGCCCCCGCTTCACC